TCTTTCTCTCACACATTTTACATCTGATTCCTTCAAAATATACATAGAATGTACCAACCTTTTTCTTTTTTTTATTTTACTTTTTTAAATGTTTAGTTGTAGATGGACACAATACCTGTATTTTATTTATTTATATGGTGCTGAGGATCAAACCCAGTGCCCCAAGCATGTGAGGCAAGTGCTCTACCACTGAGCCACAACCCCAGCCCTCTTTTTTAAAAATTATCTTCATTGTTACCATTCTGAGTTAAGCCATCATTACCTCTTAGCCTAAATTTCACAGGACATTTCTGACTGGTCTACCTACTTCTGCCCTTGCCTCACTCAGTCTAGTCTTAATTCAGCAGCCTCAGTGAACCAGTTAAAACTTTAAATCCCAACATGTCATTCCTGCTCTACCCAAAACCTCCAATAGCTCTCCTTTACTCAGTAAAAGCCAAGATCCTTATAAGGGCCTCCAGAGCTCACTTGCCCCCACACACTTCTCTGACACAGTAGCCTCTTTACTATTTCTGAAACACATCAGGCAGGCACTTGCCTTAGGGCCTTTCCTTTCTGCTTGGAATGCTTTCCTCCAAATACCTGCCTGACTCACTCCCTCACCTCTTCCAGGTCCTTGATAAAATGTCACCTTTTCAATGTGGCTTCCTTTTGGCTACCCTATCTAAAATTGCAATCCCCATCTCAAGGTCCTATCACTCACTCTATTCCTTGTTTATTTTCTCCTTAGTGTGTATCATTTTCTGACATAGTTGGATATACTTAATTCATTGATTTTTTTTCCTTTCTTCTTCGCACTAGATTTTTTTTTTTTTTTTTTTTTTTGGCTACCATGTATTGAACCCAGGGACCCAGGGGCGCTTACCCACTGTGTGACATTCCCAACCCTTTTTTTTTTTTTTTGTATTTTGTTTAGAGAGGGGTCTCACTGAGTTGCCTAAGGCCTCTCTAAGTTGCCGAGGATGGCTTTGAACTTGTGCTCTTCCTGCCTCAGCCTCCTAAACTGCTGGGATTACAGGCATGTGCCACTGCAACCTGCTTCCAATAGACTTTAAGTCACATGAGGGTAGGAATTTTTGTCAGTTTTGTTAATTGCCTAGACTAGTGTTTGGCACATAAAAAGTCTCTCAATAAATATTTATTGAATGGATAAAAGAAGGAATTGGCCAGATCTGGAGATGTTGACAAGGTAAATGAGTAGGGAAAGAGTTGATTCTAGACCAAGAATAAGCAAGCTTGGAGGCCCTGAGACCCATTCCAGGAGAAGAAGTTCTGTGGTTCAGGAACTTCAGAGCTGAACATAAGCAAGACTGGAGAGAACTTTATAACACTTTAGACTTTACTGTGAGGGAAATGGGAAGCCACAAATATTTTAAACAACAAGGTAACATGATTATTTTTTCTTTTATGGTACTGGGGATCAAATCCAGGGCCTCATGCATGTTAGACAAGGATCAACATTCTACTGCTTAGCTACACTTGTGACCCCATATTTTCAGTTTTTAAAATTCACTTTGGACAAGAGAAGATAGTAAACAAGTGCATAAAATATCCAATTTATGTTTGAACAGTATACACGTATTCATTTTTATGCTTTTTTCTCAAAGCAGCTGAACCTTTTAAAATATATCACTCCTGTCTTCAAAACCTTCCAATGTTTCCCATCTTGTCTGAATAAAATCAACATGATCCTGCCCAATCACTTCAGATTTGTCTTTAGATTTTCTTTTTCATCTTTCCATTCAAGTCCATATCAAGCACTTTTCTACCCCAGGTCTTTTGCATTTCCAGTTCCCTCAGCTTACAATTGTCTTCTTAGCTTCCTCCATCATACATTCATATGTATATGCAAATGTCACCTTGTCCAAGAGGCTTGCCCTGACTACTCTTTGTACACCAGTACCCACTTCCCTTCCCTTCTCCCCATTTTAGTTCCTTACTTCACTTTACGTTGTAGCACTTATTACTACCTAACACATTATGTGGTTATTTACATATTTACTTATAGTCTGTATTCTCCCATTAGAATGTATGTGTCATTGAGGCAGATAATTTCTGTTCACTGTTATAATTCCAGTACCTAGAACAGCACCTCACAAGTATGTAATTTCAGTACTGAAAATTGAACACAGGGGTGCTTTATCATTGAGCTACATCCCCAGCCTTTTATGTTTTTTATTTTGAGATAGGGTCTTAAGAAGTTGCCAAGCATTTCTATTCTTTATTACGCTCATTCTTGTCTAAAATTGTCTACTGATTTCTCTTTCCTCCAATAGGAGGAGTCTGTAAGGGCATCATCTTGTCTCTTTCGCTTCTCTGCTCCCATAATTAATTCATCAATTAACTTAGGAATTAGGGAATGAACCCAGAGGTGCTTTACCACTGAGCTACATCCCCAATTCTTTTTATTTTTTGATATAGGATCTCACTAAGTTGCTGGGCTGGTCTTGGATTTGGATTCATCCCGTCTCAGCCTTCTGGGTCGTGGGGATTACTGGAGTACACTACCACTCCTAGCTCTGTTCCCATTTAGCACAGTGCCTTGAACATAAAATATACTTTAAAAATATTTACAGAGGGCTGGGGTGTAGCTCAGAGGTAGAGCACTTAACTAGTACCTAGCATGCACAAGGCTCTGGATTCACTCCTCAGTAATTTAAAAGTAAATACAGATAAATAGGATGTATATATAGATTGGTAGAAAAAATGAATGCCTATAGATACAGTAGGAAAACCACATATCATTGAAGCCAAAGAGTTATAAAACTGGGGGGAGGGTGGCAGATAGGGAAGAATAAAGGAATTTGAATTGTGCAGTGGGGAGTGAGGGGAGGGGTGGGGCAATGAGGATGGGAAGGACGGTAGAATGAGACAGACATTATTACCCTATATGAATGTATGGTTACCCTACTAGCATGACTCAGCACCATGTACAGCCAGAGAAATGAGAAGTTATGCTCCATTTGTATACAATATGTCAAAATGCATTCTACTGTTATGTATAACTAATTAGAACAAATTTTTAAAAATAGAAAAAAAAGATTTGGTTACTGATGTATATTGATCATTTGAAATCTTGTGTTTCAGTTTGTTTTAGGTTGCTGAACATTGAGTATACATACACCCAGAAAGTTTAAAACTGTATAAATATAGGGAAAAAAACAAAAAGTCAATAAGTAAGACTTTATGTAATATTGTAAAAAATGTCACAAAACAATAATGTCAATAAAGATGAACTGTCAAAGATTACTTTAAAGATTCTCTAAATTGTGAGGACTTTTTTTTTTTTTAACAATTTTGCCCAGTTGTTTTATTGATGTTGTTAAAACAAACAAACAAAAAAAACCTGAACCAGGCACAGTGGTACACATCTATAATCCCAGCAATTTGGGTGGCTGAGGCAGGGGGATTGAAGTTCAAGGTCAGCCTCAGCAATTAAGTGAAACCCTATCTCAAAATTTAAAAAAAAAAAAATTTAAAAAGTGGGGAGGATGTAGCTCAGTGGTAAAGCACTCTTGGGTTCAAACCCCAGTACCAAAATAAAACAAGACAAAAAAATGAGAGTGATTGTGGTTTTCACACACTTAACAAAACTATGATTAGAAAATAAGAAATAGTAGGGCAAATTATGATCCTCTAAAAACAAACATCTTACTAAGTTTGGGCTCCAGTACAAGTACACAGCCTCTGCCAGACTTGTATAAAACCTAGATGTTTTAGTCAGCTTTTTTGTCGATGTGACTGAAGACTTATTAAATAACTACATCATGATAGCTTATAGCATCACCATTTACAAAGCATTTTCCTAGATGTTATCTCTTTTCTGGTACTCCACAACCCTTAAGGAATGTAAAACCAAAATGAATAGGTTGGGAATGTAGCTCAGTGGTAGTGCAATTGCCTACCATGTGCAAGGTCCTGGGCTCCAGCCACAGTACTGAATTTCTTTTTCGTTTTCTTTTTGTTTTTTGCTGGCTACCATGGCACATACCTGTAACCCCAGAAATTCTGAAAGTTGAGGCAGGATCTCAAGTTCAAGTTCATCCTTAGTCTGGGCAATTTAGTGAGAACCTGTATTAAATAATAATAATAATAATAATAATAATAATAATAGGTTGGGGATGTAGCTCAGTGATAGAGTGAGTACTCCTGAATTCAATCCCCAGTACCAAAAGAAAAAAAAAATGCCTAGCAAAATGACTAAAATCCCAAAATGATAAAGTCAAGAACCATATTGGCAGCTGGGCATGGTGGTACAGAGGCTCTGGAGGCTGAGGCAGGAGAATCACAAGTTCAAGACTAGACTTAGTAAAGGTGGGAGGCCCTAAGCAACTTAGTGAGACCCTGTTTCAAAATAAAAAATAAAAAGGTCTGGGGGATGTAGTTCAGTGTTTAAGTGCCCCTGGGTTCAATCCCAGCATTAAAATATATATATATATAGGCAGCTAGTAAAGAGAAAGTTGGAAAATCTTTACCTCTTGGTGTGCCTACAGAAAGATGAGCACCTACCCCAACTCCAGTCCTAAAGTCCCATAGAAAAGATCAAAGGGACTCTTAGCTTAGCTTGTTTAGCCTGGGGAGAACCCAGGGGATTGGATTTGGGCATGATTCAATGAAAACAAAACAAAAGGTAAAACCAAAGTGTGAGATTTATAAGGGTTATTATCCAGATGCCTGATGGCCTTGGTTGCCTTTTCGGTCCTTTTCTGATGGGCAGGAGAAAAGTCCTGTCTAGGTGTTTTGGCTGTTTGAACTTGCTGTTCTCCTGCTTCAGCCTTCAGAGTCACTGGGATTACAGACCTATACCACCTCACCTGGCTTCTCTGAGTGAGTCTAACATGCAGCCAGAGTTGAGAATCACTTATAACTAGTCTAAACCTGAGCAGAAAACAAACTAAAGTCATGTAAACTTAAAATTTTTTATCAAAATTCATCTGCTCATACAATAATTGTTTTAATACTCTCAATGACTAAAAATAAAAATAATAGTTCATATTTACTAAGTCTTGGTGGATGGCAGTCTTGGTGCTTAAGAATATCATATTTCATCCAAGCCTTTCTACCAGCCTGATAGTTACTATTCAATTCTTCATTCTATAAGTGAGAAAACAGGCTTAGGTCATAATGGGCATATGTAAAGTACTGGAACCCAGATCTGCCAGAATCCAGAACCAAGCTTTTATTTATTTTTTTTTTTTTTTTCAAAGAGAGAGGAGAGGGGGAGAGAGAGAGAGAGAGAGAATTTATTTATTTATTTATTTTAGTTCTCGGCGGACACAACATCTTTGTTTGTATGTGGTGCTGAGAATCGAACCCGGGCCGCACGCATGCCAGGCAAGCACGCTACCGCTTGAGCCACATCCCCAGCCCCCAGAACCAAGCTTTTACCATGCCCATTTAGTCTCCAAAATGTCAATGGCTTAAAAAAAGAAAATAAAACAAAAATAACTTTGTGATAAAGCCACATTCAAAACAGTTTTCATGTCAAGCTTATGCCCAAATGGAGGCAATTTGAATGCCTTATTGTTATGTCCTACATATTTTGTCTTTGTACACAACTTCAAGCAGTCTGACAGATGAAGTTCTTTGGGAGATTTGAGGGAGCCCAGGACAGAGATTCACATGCATCCTTTACAGTCCTCTTCTAATAGAGAATAACATTGACTTTAACCAGTGAGTTAAAATTTAAATTAAAAGAACCAAACTTAGGTCCTTGATGTGTAAACTCTTTATTCATGTTATTAATCCTCCCTGCAAAGACTGGAATCAAGATTTAGTTTAATTACTCAGCATTAAAAGAGAATAAAATGGGCTGGGGATGCAGCTCAGTTGGGAGAGTGCTTGCCTTGCATGCATAAGACCCTGGGTTCAATCCCCAGCACCACAAAAATAAATAAATTATGGCATTTGCAGGTAAATGGATGGAGATGGAGAATATTATGCTAAGTGAAGTAAGCCAATCCCAAAAACCCAGAGGCCGAATGTTCTCTCTAATAAGTGGATGCTGATCCATGATGGGGGAGACATGGGAAAAATAGTGGAATTTTGATGGGTCGAAGGGGCGGGAGGAGTGGAAGGGTGCATGGGATCAGGAAAGATGGTGCAATGAGATGGACATCATTACCCTAGGTACATGTATGACTGCAAATATGGTACGATGCTACATTGTGTAGAACCATAGAAATGTAAAGTTGTACTGCAATGCAATGCTGATGGGGCTGGGGATGTGGCTCAAGAGGTAGCACGCTGGCCTGGTATGCCCAAGGCACTGGGTTCAATCCTCAGCACCACATAAAAATAAATAAAGATATTGTGTCCATCTAAAACAAAAAAATATATATTTTTAAAAAATGCATTCTGCTGTCATATATACCTAATCTAAACAAACAAATAAATAATAAGATTCAGTTTAAATCTCTGATTTAGATCCTAAATCAGTCAGCAGTGGGTGTTCATGATTTTATTCTCTGTGATAAGATCAAAGATGTATACATACAACAAACACTTCCCACCCACTTCATGTTCACATTTTTTGCTGATAACAATGGGGAAAGAGAACCTGTGGGGGGAAAAGTTAAAGTCTGTGACAACCAAGCAAAATTAGATCTAAAAGAAGTCATTTAAAAGGGGGAAGGAAATGGGGAAGGGAGGTTGTGCTCTTTTCCTTCTGTTTGAAGTATCAGTGGGCTTTATTATGGAAACCTGGCTCTCTCTATTCACCATTCCAAAGATTTTCTTTTTGGTATTTTCAGATTTTTGTAGGGGGATGAAAAGGGCTGTAAAAATAAGAATTGCTGCATTGTAATATAAAGTACATTAAATTAATGCATTTTAGATCTCAGATGTATTGGTGAATGAGTCATCAGTCTCCATTGTTTCTGTTACCTACCAACATTTTTTTTCTTTTAATTCCAGGAAACCTGAAGAAAAAGAAAATCTGTTGTAACAGAGCAGACACATATCTGTCAGGGATCTTTACCTGCCCTTGTAGGTCCTTTAGGGGCACTCTAAATAAAATAGAAACCAAAAAAGTCTTTGTTTTTTGCTTATCTGTATTGAATTTGGTTGTGAGTTAACTGGAGTCAGGAGGGCTGAGTTGGTCATGGGATTCCTAGACTCTGTGAGCTCAGAGTAAAATCTGGCAAACCTACATTCCATTCTGGCTTGCTCTATCAGTTCTTAGCAGGCCAGACTTTTTATTTCTTTAATCACAATAAATCACTCTTCTGTCTGCCTATGAGTCTGGCAGGATCTGCCCTCTGTCACAGAATGTTATTATATTCATTCATTCATCCATGTGTTTTCTCAATTGAAAAATATTTTGGAGCACCTACTATTGTAAAGGTAAAATTTCTAAGCTGATTCTAAGCTGCAAAGCCTGAGTTAAAGTGTAAAAGACCGGGCATTGTAAAGTTTCTAAATTGCAAGGCCTGGGCTAAAAAGTAAAAGACTAGGTATTGTTAAAATTCCTCTGCTACCCGGGAACCTGTAATCTCTGTAGCTGTTAGGACAATACTGGAACTGCCCAGTAAATATTTACATTGATTCCCTGGTTGTTTAATAGCTAAGGGCTCTGAGTAGCTCAGCACGTAGGCATCCAGGCCCCAAAACCAATCAGTTTAAATGTATACCCCGCTTAGGAGTGACCAATCACCCCTGCCCAGACTGTTCCCGCCAATGAATGTACTAATCATGTTTCAGAGTTGTTGTTCAATTTTCCCGCGCCTCATGATGATTTGTTCTGATGTATGCAAAGCCCCCCGCCCTCTCCAAAAAGTGTATTTAAGCTCTGCTTGACCTCTGCTCTGGGCTCTGGGCTGCTCTATCTTCCTGAGTGAGCCTGGAACCTCAGCATGCTGAATTAATAAATCCCCCTTGCCAATTGCATGAAGTCAGTCTCTTGTGTGGTCTCTTCCTCCGACGCTATGCCGGACCCTTACACTATGTCCCACACTTTGTACTAAATCAGAAGACACAATGGTGGGCCGACTTCATGACATTTACATTCTAGAGAGAGAGAAAGACAGTATATAGGTAACGAGAAATTAAGTTTCAAATAGGGTCAGTATGGGCTGGGGATGTGGCTCAAGCGGTAGCGCGCTCGCCTGGCATGCGTGCGGCCCGGGTTTGATCCTCAGCACCACATACCAACAAAGATGTTGTGTCTGCCGAGAACTAAAAAATAAATATTAAAAAAATTCTCTCTCTCTCTCTCTCTCTCTCTCTCCCCTCTCTCACTCTCTCTTTAAAAAAAAAAAAAAACAAATAGGGTCAGTATTAGGAGCTACAGGGAGGAGAAGTACTCACTTGCATCAGGAAAGATTTCACTGAAAAGATGATATTTGAGCTGACACCTGAATGATTAGAATGAACTCTATAGTAGGGAAGAAGTCCCAGACCAGGACACAGCCCTAGGATTGGAATAAGTCTGGCCTATTCCAAGAACATAATGAAAGTCAGTGTGCCCAGGGGTAGTCGAATTAGGGTAAGAGTAGCAAGAGTTGAGAGCAGAGAAGGAGGCAGGGGAGCCAAATTATGAAAGACCTTGTGAGACCTGGCAAGGAGTTTGGATATTACTTTAAAAACAACGGCCTCACATGCACAAGGCCCTGGGCTCAATCCTGACACTGCCAAAAAAAAAAAAAAAAAAAAGCAATGGGAAAAACTTGCAGGATTAAACAGCAAAGTGAACATGATATGATTTACATTTCTAAAAGACCATTTTTTCTATATAGAGAATGGGTGTAGTCAGGCATGGGGGCAAGTTCCTATAGTCCTAGCTACTTGAGAAGTTGAGGCAAGAGGATCACTTGAGTCCAGGAGTTCAAGGTCAGCCTGGGCAACATAGAGAGACCCTGTCTCAAAAAAAAAAAAAGTTGGGGTTATAGCCCAGTGGTAGAGCACTTGCCTAGCTTGTGTGAGGCACTGGGTCCTATCTTCAGCACTACATAAAAATAAATAAAGGTATTGTGTCCATTTACAACTAAGAAAAAAAAAAAAGGAATGAAGTGTAAGAAGTACATGAATTAAGGCCTATTATTGTTCATTTGCTTATTCATTTATTCAAAATTATTTTTTTTGTACCTTGTTATGGTAACATGGGCCTGTGGTCCCAACTACTCAGAAGGTCCGAAGATCATTTGGGCCTAGCAGATTAGTCTGGGCAACCTAGGGAGACTCTGTAAAAACAAACAAACAAAAAATTCTTTTTCCTCCAGTTCTAGGGATCAAAACCAGGCACATGGTACCTCTGAGTTATATCCCTAGTCCTAGTTTCAGGTTTTTTATTGTTTGTTTGTTTTTGTTGTTTGTGATTTGAGACAGGGTTTCACTAAGTTACCAAGACTGACCTAGAATTTGCCAACCTCCTGCCTCAACCAAGTCACTGGGATTATAGACACTTGCCACCACACCTGACCAAAAACATAAATAAATAAATAAATAAATAAATAAATAAATAAATAAATAAAAAATCAGTGCCTAATTGCCAGACAATGAGCCAAGCCCTCAGAAATCATGGTGGTCAAACATTACTTCTCCCCTCAAGGAGCTTAATGGATAGCTAGATAAACATAAAAGTCCTATGTCCTTGTAATAATAATAGACAAGTGCTATGCTAAGGGTAGTCTCCATGTGTTATGTATGGTATCCAAAGGAACTGATTTATTTAGTAAATATTCATGTATCCCTAGAACATAGCACAGTAGTCATCACATGACAGGTACCTCACTAATGCTTGTTGATTGACCAGATAGCAAGATGTGGTTCTGAGAAACAGGGATTAGGAATGTTTGAAATATCGAGGTGTCATATCAGACACAAGCTCAAAAGTTACTTAGCCAGGTAAAATTTACTTCTTCAGAAGGGTGTGCTACCAACAAGAGTCATGCAAGCAAGCACATACAGATTGAGTGCAACTGACATTTTATTCTCCAGAGCACAAGGTCTTTCCTTAAGTTCCTCATGGCTGAGTACAGTATTCTGGAATGTCACCTAGGTTTTACTGTCTCCTAATGGGT